ATCTTACCCTGTGGGAAGAAACTTAGGAGGGATAAAAGAAAAACATAAAGATAAACGAAAAGCAATACAGTAGAAGCAAGGCTTAAGAACAAACAATGATCATTCACGCTTTGGGGTACTGAAGAAGGGAATGGGAGAGAAATAATAAAGGAAAAAGCAAAAGAATATTGAAGCAAACAAGAAAGACTAGAAACAGTGTTCACGCACATGAAAATGTGAAAAAATAAAGAAACATAATTGAGGAAAGAGGAAAAAGATGAACAAAATCCAATAAAAATAAAAACATTAACCACCTCCTCCAAAAAAAACAAAAAAGAAAGACAAAATAAATGACAACAAGAAAAAACAAAACAAAAACAAACAAAATAAAATAAACCAATCAAATTCCTCCGGTGTCTTCAATTCTGTGACAGGATCCAAATCAGAGTCCAAATCCATGCTGGGTAATCCCGCCACATGGTAGGGTCAGTGCTGGGTACAGGGCTGTTCTTGGCCTCCTGATATAGGAGCTGGGCCAGAATCTTCACTCAGCGGCTTTCTGTTTCTCCCTTGGGGGTCTGCCCACATCTCCTCACCCTGTCTGTCTCTGCATTGCTCTCCCAGTTACTCTGGCAGACAAAGACAGCCCAAGACTGCTCCCGGTCCTGTCCAGTGGGCCCAGCTCATCCCTTATACAACTTCATCTATTCCGCACTGCTGTTGCCTCTCTCTCTCCTCACACCCACTGAGGCAGAACACGGGGAACCCTGCCACACTGTGTTGGGAGCAAGGTTCAGGGAGTCCTGACTTCCCTTTACTGCCCAGCTGTGGCTTAAGACTGTTTAGGTTCCACATCCTTCTGGCTCACACTGCTGGGAGCTGGGTGGGAGGGGAAGTGCTGTTCTGTTTTCTTTTTACTTAAATAGACATAATCCAGGTCAACAGAAGTGGGATGGATTTCATCAAGAAAGCTAGAACTGCAGTAAAAGCATCTAGGTAGTGAGCCCCCTGCCCACCACAGCACTTTGTGGATTGTGAACAGAAAGGGAAACCTGTGAAGCTCATCATTCCCGCTGCATTATTTTCAAGGCTACATTTTTCCCAGGGGGCACTAGAAGTTCTTTAGTACAAGTCTTCAACGGTCTTCGGTTATTACAGCAACGGTTCCTGAGTGATGACGTGTGTAAGAATAAGCACAGCAACCGTGTGAAAATGCGGTTTCCCCTGAGTAAGTCTAAGTGGAGTCTGGGCTGCCCTCCTAGAAAGCCTTTATTTTCTGTGCTGCTGTCCACGGACCAGGCCTGAATGCACGGCATTAAAGGCCCCAGATCCTGTAAGGGTTGTGAGCGTTTCTCTATGTCCCTGGAAAAGTGCCGGCTATCTGGTCAGCTTCTTGCAGGAGCAGGCAGGGGTGCAGGCCTCAGCTCAGAGATGAAGAGGCAGGTGAGAGCCTGCTGGCTCTTCAGTCCCCACCAGCAATCAGCCAGGGGAAAGCTGGTCAAAGGAGCCATTACAATTTACAAGTCACTGCAATAGCCCTCCTTGGGCAATCAAGGCCAAAGAAAAGTGGTTGCTGTTGAGGCTAATGACAAGCATGTAAAATGTGCACTTAAATAGCACTTAGAGGGGGAAAGCGCTTTTAAGGATGGTGGATGGGCAGTCTCTGTTCTTTGGTGGTAGACATTTTGATCATTTAGTCATTTCTGTCTCTAGCTGCTCGGGTGCTAGGCTGGTGCACATTGGGCAGCTAAGGGGCATCAGTCTTTCCTTGAGTTATCTCATTTAACCCCTGCTCCAACTCAGACATACATGTAGATGCTGCCCCTCAGAGCAGTCAACTGAGAAATGACTCAGATTCAGTCCCAGATCTATGACTCAAATTCCAAGCTGGGAATAAGTTTTTGGATGCCGCTGGACCATCTGTGAACTGTCTGAAGTTGCATATGAAACTGTGTGTGAATCCGTGGGCCTTTTGGGGATTCAAGAGAACAGTTGTCTTTTGCCAGTTTCTAAAGACACCTGTGATTCTCCCAAAAGACAAAAGCTCCCTGGCTGCACAGCACACCTGAGAAAGAAGTACCCTGAAGCAGTGGGTTCTCAGCTTGTCTTAGAGTGACCAGGTTTTAATGTCAAATATATTTAACCACCTCGGGAGAGTGAGATTTCAGGGTCCATCACTGATGGAAACAGGCAAGAATGAAAGGACTCTATTCAGGCCTGCTTTCAAATCACCTTATATTTTAGTCATTATACTAACATTGCTTCCATTTATAAATAAGAATGTCTCTGTCAAATGTTATTTGGTCTATAGGATATCTGAGGTGAAAAATATTTGAAGAGTCCCTTGCAATAATTAGGAGGGAGAATTCAAGGGTGGCTCTAAGTTTGGAAGAGTAGACTTCAACAGGATGCTTGTATTTGCCAATTTTCTTCTGCAACAAAAATGGGATGAAAAGTGAAATAGCCTCAGAGGACACACTGCTGTCTTCAGGATGGCTCAGTAGGAACTCACAGTTGGATTAGAAATGATATACTTTTTGCTGATATGGAATGAACAAAGTGAGGTGCTCAGGGGTTCTGGAGCATCCTTAGCATCACACCAGGCATCCCTCAGTCTCCCCCTGTGTTGGTCAGATCAAGACAAAAGCCAGGCGTCTCAGCAGATGCTAGGCGGAGCAGCAGGATCTATGTCTGGACCAATGGTAGATGCTCAAGTTTTCAAGTGTTCAGTTAGAACTGGGTTAGTAGAATTCTCCAGAATCCCAACAAGAGAAACAGTCGTGCAGGATAGACCTTCTTCCTCCTAGTCCTGCAATTCACACATCACACTTAGAGCATGAAATGTCCCTGTGATGAGCATCAGTGGCCCAGATCAGCACCTGACTTCTGTGGGGAGAGAGGCATAACAGGCATTGATCTCCGACAATCCTGCCTGCCTCTGAAATCTCCTTCAGATGTGACCTTCTTAGTGGAGGATGCTTCCACTCTCTTTCCTGTTTACTCATTCCCCCACAAAACTTTTACAAAAGCATGGAGTTAATATCAGCTTTGAATGAGAAATAAGAAAATCAGGCCTACTTCTCCCTAGAAAGTCCTGGGGGCAAAATTACTGGAGCAAGATGAGACATTATTGACCATTGGACTACTCCTGCTGTAGTGCAGGAAACTGAGGCCCAGAAAGGGGCTGTGACTTTCCAGGAGGCACAGCCAGTGTGTGGAAAACCTGAGTCTTATTAATAAGTGAGCCCCCAGCCTCTAATCCAAAGCTTATACCACTGTGAGATTTCACTAAGCAGGAGAAGGACAGAGTTCCTGCCTTAATCGCAAGAAGTAGTTTATGATTATGATCAAGAACCTAAGATCTATTTAGAGCCAGAAAGATTTGGGTGCAGACTCCAGTGCTATAACTCTCAACCATTTACCCCAGATTGCCAATTTATATGTGCCTCAGTTTACCAGTTATGACAAGAGTACTACTTGCCTTGTAAAGGAGATTGTATACATTGTAGAAATCATGGACACATGGCACCTCCGTCACTAATTCAGCATTTTTAATACACTGACATTCTCTCATTCAGTTTTCCAATTTTGAGTATTTAGGTTGAGAATCCCAGGAGAAGGTATGAGGAGGTTAATATAGGCCTAAAGTGCGAGGCTGGTATGCCCATTTCTCTGTCTCATTCTCTCCATCTGCAGAAACATTTAAGAGCTGCATAAGTATCTGCTCATTTAAATTGGTCCAGGTCCTAAGTCAACACACATACTCAGAAATGAACCAAGGATCAGCTGGAGGCCTTCTCTGGGCATTGGCTCGATGCACACACTGGGGGCTGCTAAAAACCTTTTGCTTTTGACAAAACAAGATTTGTTGTTGGATACTGTTATGGTTTGTGAATAGATGGCCCTCCCCTACCAACGTCTCATGTGGTCACAGTTGGGCCTTTTTGGAGGTGACTGAATCTAGAATTGAAAGTGTGTCCACTGATTGGTTTAGCACCACCCTAACCCCAGGAGCATGGATACAATATAAGGAACAGAAAGAGGCTTCTCTTCTCTTTGCTTGCTCTTGCTGTCTTCTGCTTGCCATGAACTGGGTTTCCGCTGTTGCCCTCTCCTTGCCGAGGAGTCAGCTAATTATGGACTGAAACTCCTACAGACTTAGCTAAGAAAACCTTTCCCCCTTTAACTTTGGGCTTGGGCTATTTTGTCTCAGCAGTAACAAAAAGTAACTAAGACAGGAATCATGGAAAAGCAGCAGGGAATGGCACCAGAAATACGTACCCTTGTCTAGATGGATGGCACAGCTGTGATTTCACTTCTCTGTGCTCAAGTTTAAGAGTGCTGCCTTGTCACCCTTTCAGAGCTGACAGTAAGAATCAAGTGACATCACTTATGTGAAAGTGCCAGGTGCTCTTAAGCATTTCTCATCACTAGTAATACAATCATAGTAACAGGTAGAAAAGCCTCAAAATGGTGCATTAAAGAACCAGGGGCATTAAGGACCCAGGGCAATGGAATGGTTTATCTTCTTCGGTGGAAATTCAAAAGTAACTGACCCGCAACCTCAAGACCACTTAGTGGGAAAAAGCATGGCAGATCCGTCCGATGCCTTCACAGGTAAATGCACACACCCTGAGAATATAGTGTTAACTGAAGTAAGTCAGACACACAAACTTAAATATCGTATGATTTCTCTTATATGAGAAACTCAAAGTATGTAAATGCAAATAAGAAGTGAAATGGAAGACAAACAGGAAGTAGGAGAAGTTCAGATCATTTCCCAAATTACCTATGGCGTTGTTTCAAAAAAATTTTTTAAATATATCCTTATTTATATGATTAGTTTCTCTTATTTCACTGAAAGGAATGGTTTGTGCATGGTCTGTTTCTTTTTGTCTTTTTTGTCTATATTATGTACTCTACATACTTTTAAGATTATTGTACAATGTACTGACTATTGTTATTCTCTTGCTTTGTTATGAAATTTTATTCTATTTTTCCAACATACCTTTTAAAGGGCAACCAAAAAATTCATGGCTGGCCCAGATCATCCTGTAAAAAGAGGCAAAGGGAACTTACAGATGTTGCTTAATAATTTCCCCCCTGCACCAAAAAACTGACCCAGTTTCACAATATCATTGGTAGCCTAGCAGCAGAGAGATGAGAGAAGCCTCATTAAACAAATGAGGGAAACCTGTTAAAGGATCTGTGAAACCTAGGAAGACTCCATCAGAAGCCCGCCAGTTTAGATGCTCTGAATTGGATTTGTGCAGCTCGAGTGGTGGAAGAGGTCAGGGAATGATTTATGCAATCTGCACAATCTACTTTTCAGGCCAACTCAGCAAGTCCCTGCAAACACGTCCATCCATCACAGCTAGAAGGATAGGAAGCTTAGGGCAGCACTGATGTCCACTACACCCCCATTTTCCCCGGGGTTGGCCAGGCCACCCAGCTTTAGGGAATCAAGCTGCAGAGACTGTTAGTGGTCCCTCCCTCAAGAGTCCCTCTCCAAGAATCAAACTACAGTGGCCTTTCAGAGATTCACTGAATAGGCAAGGACCTTTCTTGGTCATTGGTCTTCCAAGTAACACTTATGGGGCAGAGCAAGCCAATCTGTATTGTTTTCAGTTGGAGCTCTCATTGGAATTAAAGAAGCTGTAATTAAAGCACCTTGCAGAAGAAGGCTGCAATGAGTTCTTAATTCATTGTGCCACCAAACGCAATCCACAATCCAAATAGAAACACCCAGCCTGCAGGTGCTAATCCCCTGGTGGATTCTAAGAGTCACTGAGATCTTCTTGCCTTTCATAGATTCTGTCACCCCTGGGTTGGAGGCAGACACTGGCTCCAACCCTGAAGGATAGCTGAGAGCAATGACACATTTGTCATCCTTGGGATTTAGACTTCCGGAGACTGGATAGTGTCTTACTACCAGAGAAACCTGCAATGAGGGTGGGAAAAGTGTAATGAGGGACAGAGGACAATGTCTTCCTCAGCTGGCTGGGATGGCAACTTGTCACAAAAAGCTTCCTTGACTTTAGTAAAATGAATTTCTGCTGCTAGTAGACACATCATGGGGGGTTCTTATCACAAACTCTACTACTTGCTTACTGGTGATTTACTGGGTAACAACTTCTCTGTGCCTCAGTTTTCCTATCTGTGAAATGGGTATAATAGAAGAATCTACTTCACAAGACTATAGAGAAGATTATGTATGTATAGACAGACAGACTGTATAGCCACTGAATAGTATCTGACACAAACAGGTTCTGTATAGAATAGTTTCTCTTTTTTATTCCTACACAGATATTTCAAAAGTATTTTACTGCCAACATGGAAAGATGTTAGAAGAGAGGTTTTCTCTGACAATTCTGCCTCTTGTCCCTACTCTGACCCGTAGATTATCAGATAAAATACCAGGTGCTCAGTTAACAAATCATTTTTAGTACAAGGATATCCCATGTACTTTGGGGGACATACTTATACTAGAAATGTGATTTCTCTGAAATTCAAATATAACTGTCATCCTATATTTTCTTTGCTTGCTAAATTTAGCAACTCAGCCACTTCATGACCCTGCCAGCAATTCTAGTTAGTGAAAAATATCTCTGCCATTAACTTGCCTTTTCTAATTTTCTCATAATCGCATCTTCCTTGCTGGAATGTAAGCTCCTGAGAGCTAGGACCAGGGTCCCGCCTTCTAACTATATTCCCAGGGGCCAGCAGAGGCCCAGGCTCATGCTGGTTGCTTAACACAAAGATGGTGTTACCAGGTTGGGATAAAGATGCTCTACTTATAAGCCCCCTTTTGCCCATCAAATCTAGGCAGGCGTGGGTACTTTGAATATCTCAGGTCTTTCTCAAAGTTCAGACTTCTCCACCAGAGCAGAGGCATCAGCATAGGTTTAGGAAATTTTTCTCCGAGTTATGACCAATCAATTCTCTGTATTCCAATTCTGTCACAACCCTAGGCTCCACCAACTGTAAGAACTGAGCTGGCCTTGTGCTAACATCATTTCATTTATCATTATGGCACTGCATGAGAGGAGACCGTTATGCTGAGTGTGATGTTTTATTAGCATTTTTTCCAGAGATCTGTGATTCTGCATCCATGATGAATAAAAATGACCTAAATTTCACTTCCTGAGACATTGTCATTCTGCACTGCTCAGCTGCCTGATCCTGGTCACGACTGTCGTAAAGCACATCATATTTCTAGCCTCCCCTTCTAAAGCATCCATGTAAAGGTGGCCTTAATTCCATTCGAATCTTTTAGCGATCAGTAATAACTACAACCTCTTCTAAAATGAAAATTAATCAATTCTTCGTGATTTTCTGGCTAAAACAATGTAGATTTTAAGACCTTGAACCAGAGCCTACCTGAAATCAGCAACTCTTGCCAATGTTAAAAAGTGATGATTTTTAATGATCAAAATTATTCTTGGTCCCTTCTGATTGGGAGTGTCATCCTTGATATGTTCTGACTTGATATATCCAGCATTACAGAGAAACAGCTCCCTCTTTGCTCGAGTGTTGAAATTGAATGCATGGTTATCCGGGCAGCACTGTCAGAGGAAAACCGGCTTCTGAAGGACAGATGCATGGCAGAGAAGGACCCTCTGTCTTGCTTCCTAGATTTGGCAATTCCACATAAATGTTAGCTATTAGGCCTGAAGACTTCTATAATATTTTAGAAAAAGAAAAGGAAAAAGAGCAACAAAAACAATGGACTTACCCAAATGCAACTGGCTAAATTTTCATTGATTTCATTGAAAGGGGGAGCTGATGGGAATCATGCCCCAGGCCCCCTGAATCTCAGCATCACAGGAGGAAATTCTGCCGTCTACATGCGGCCACATTTTGGAGATGTGAGAACTGCTTCAGAGCTTCCAGCAGTTTATTTCAACATTCCCAAGGACATCTTCCCTTTAGGAGTCAGTATCTCACCAGGAAGAAAAATGAAAAGCTATGCACACGAGTATGTTAATTAACATTAGCAATATCAGCAAGAAGATGGGGAAGCAAACGCTGCGTACAGCACTGTGGAAACCATTAAGTAAGTTACGGAGAAGGGACTATATTAAAGATAACATATTCACTGAAATGGTAGTTTGGAAGAGTTTGTAGACACATGGAAAGTGGGAAAACGGACACAGCAAGTGAGAGAACACTTCCCAACTGGTGTGTGAGCTTCAACTGCAATTATATCAGTTAAACTATGGGGATGGCTACAAGCTAGAAAAGGGAAACGAAAAATGAACATAGTTGTATTAGAGTTCGTTGGACTAAAGGTAATGATTATTTTAAAACTGGTTTTGAAAACTACAATTTCTGTGTTTAAATAATATTATAAGCTAACATGCAATTAGATTAATAATTCCTTAGAAGCATCAAGTTGAAGCTGTTCCCAGAGAGATTCCAAAGGCCAAAAGAAAGGCATCCTTCCTGTTTGGGATGAGCAGGCTTCAGATGTGCCCCATGATAAGCTCCTTGCCCTCCTGACAAGGAGCCAAAGCCCAGAAGAACTGGGAGCACAGGGAGAGCAGCAGGGCTGCCACTGGATAAGGACAGCACAGAGGCAGTGGGTAGGTCAGGGACAGGTCTCTAGGGGATGGGAAGTACTAGGCTCCCTCATCTTGACTCACATAGCCACAGGAGAATCCAGACAAAGACCTGCTCGCCACTGGTCTCGGCAGGGCCATCATAGAAGCACAGGGCTAGGTGAGGTGACAATGCCCTTTCCATGCCTGTGTAGGGCTTTTCTCTGTACAATTCCAGGCCACTGTGCCTATCTGTCAGCCCTCCCTTCACTCATCCTTGACCCACACTGAATCCCTGAAACTGTACACTCTGCTTCATTCCTAGAAAAGCCTTCTCTCCTTTGCTTTGTCCATATATTGCACTCATAGCCTGGGCCCCTGGCAGAAAGACAAGAGCTCCTCTGGCACCATTTTGCAGTCGGGGAGCTCTGACCATGTCATGGTGGCCACTCAGCATTACCCTGAACAGGGCCCAGTGACCACAGCAATCCTGATTCAAGTTGCTGTGCTGCTCTAGGATGGGCCCAACAAGCAGATTCTGGGTGCTTGTGTACAATGAGCAAAGACCTGCATAGTGTACATTCAGTGGTAAAAGAAAAAGCAGCTCTGTTTATTAAAGATCAAGGGGAGATGCGTTCAGGGCAAGTCTATACCAACAAAAACATGGTATGAAAAGAAAAGTGATGCTGGGTTGATAGGGAAATAAAACACACTACACACAGGTAAATCAAGCATTCAGATTTTCAAAGATGCGCACCCCATCCCATCCTGGTAGCCTCTCACTGGGTTTCTGATTAAGACTGGCAGGGATTGGCGGGCGTGGTGCACAGGACTTCCCCACAGTTAATTTTGATTAAATTATATGTATGAGATGTAGTTCATATTTATGAACTTTTAATAAGGTAGGAATGATCTAAATGCTTGCGCTCTGGTCTGGAGCTATAGAGATTTTTAGGTTCTTTGGTATTTGGTGTTTCTCTTAGAAAAATGATGGAAGGCAGAACGGCTTTGGGGTGTTATCAAATGGAAGTGAATGGAAAGGAGAAATCTCCTAGCCCGTTGTGCTATCTGTACTATTCTCCCATGAGAGAGCTGGTTCCCAAAACACTTTAGGGGCTGCAGAAGGAAGAAGGGTTCCATGGCTACTTCCTGCCAAGTAGGAGCTCTGCCCTCCCTATCTGGATACCAAGGAACTGTTGCCTTGTCTGATGTCAGGGTCTCTAGTGAGCCGTAAGTGTGCAGGCAAGTTTTGATCCTGGGCTTGGGCCATCATCAGTAGTTTAACACATTTAAACAAGAAGCAAATTTGACTAAAAGATTAAGTATGGAAGATCTAAATAGTAAGGCTATAACAAGCGTTAATAAAGGCCATGTCTAAGACAGTAATTAAGATCTCCAATGTTAGATATTTGCCCAGGACATTCATGACTTAGATAGCCTTCTGAGGGTCTTAGAAACACAGCCAGTCAGTTTTTGTGCAGTACCTCTCACTAGTTCAGACTGATTTACATAAGAACTACATTTTTCTTTTAGAGGCAAACATAACCCCTTTGTTTCAGTGGTCAGGAAATCTAGTGTCTACAGCATTCAATGACCAATTCTGTTAGTGAATCTATTTGATCTAGCAAAATACTCTGGGCAACTTCATCTAGGCTGTTTGTCAAATTCTTGGGTAATTGTTAATGTTTAGAAGAAAGATTTGAGTAAAGTTTTATGTAAGTAATCACTGTTCATTTTCTCTATTAGAGATAGCTTTTGAATCATCTAGGAGGATCCCAAAAGAAACAGGAGAAAACCAAAAGAAGTCAAATTATAGCATGGGGCAAGGACTTCATCTGTATCAAATAAGATAGTGGCAAGACTAGCTACAAAATGTACTTAGCAGGAACAAAACATTTTATTTATCTGGCTCAACAGGTTCATTGTAAGGAACTTGTAGCTGTCCGCTGGTTCACAGTTCGTGAGGTTTGTGGTCTCTTTGTTTTATGGTGTCTCAGGCAGCTTGGGTTTTGCCTTGGAGAGCAACTCTATTTCCCATACCATACCTCAATGGCAGGAGTGGTTAGAAGGGTTGTGTGTGGCCCTTTTCCTTTAGGGCATGTTGTTGTCAGGGACTACCTTCTTCTGAGATAGTCATATGCACATGTAAGACCAGAAAGGCATATTTAAAGTCTGAACATTTATTGACCCTCTTGCCCTGGACAAATTGGAGAGCTCAGTGAGGACATTCTACCTTTTGGGTGGAAATCTCGGGAGGGAGGAAGTCCTCTTGTTTCAATGGGTAGCCCCAGGGTAGGGCTATGGCATAACCTGGCCTTTTAGTTCCATGTTTATTGAAACTGTTGCCATAAATAACACATGTGCTAGCCATCCCTATCACTGGCTGGTCCATTGGATCAGAGAAGGAGGCACAATTGTAGGCAGAGGTTTTTTTTACACTCATATTATACCTGTTAGTTAATTGGAGTGGAGGTAGCTAGATTTAAATAGTTTGAAGACTGGTGAAAGAAATTTACCAGTCATCTACAAATGTCCCTTGAGTTCTAAGCTGGTGTGGGGTTAGAACTAAGGGCTTTTGAACTACAGTTATTTTAGAAGCTTCTTGGTCTAAGTGGCATAGTGGCTACTCACAGACACCTGGGTCAACCCTGTGTTACTCCATTGCATTGGGTCAGTTTTCCTGGCCTCAACACTGAGTTTACACTGCCATGACTACTCCATGATTTTTAGCCATGAAAAGAGAAAAAGGCTCCGTTAGTTGAGATATTCCTAATGCTGGGTCCTGTGTGAGACTCCATGTAAAGTTCTTCAAGGCCTTTTGAGTGTCTTCTAGTTCATTTCAAGGATTCAATTTTTGATCCTCAGGTTGTCTTATATAGGTGTCTGGTTATTTTCTATAAAATGCAGCAGAAGCCCACCATTTCGAAGGAAGCTCTAAGTTTCTATTTAGACTCTAGGGAGCCCTGATAACAAATTGGCTCTGTACCCCTTGAGAACAGTTGTCTTTGTTCTGGTGTTTAAATGTACCCTGGATATGTCACTTCATGTTGAGAAATGTATGCCTTATAACTCCTTTTTGTAGGATATCTTTTAATCCCTTTTTGTTAGAAAATTGAGATACTTGACAGTGTTTTTATCAGATAACTCTTTGGTGGGGTTACACATGAAGTACATGTATGTATTGTAATAGACCTCTTCTTTTGAACTTCAGATCTCTCAGGGCTTGAGCTGAAGCCTGTGCAAGGAAGTGAGGATTATTTCTAAAACCCTGATGCAAGCCAGTCCAGGTATACTGGTGGTGAAGTCTTGTTTAGAGATCTTCCCATTTGAAGGCAAACAAGTATTGGAAGATACCATTGGAAGGAACCATCCTCAGGAATAAACATGGCAGCAACCTTGAGATCAAAGACAGAGAACCATTTAGTGTTTCCTAGGATCTTTGCCAAAAGTATGTAAGGATCTGCTACTAACAGGAGAATAGGTGCCAGTGTCTTGTTGATGGTTCTGAGATCTTGCAGAAGGTGTTACTCTTCTGATAGTTTGACTAGCAATAAAATGAGTGTATTGCATGGGAATTGTCATAACACCAGCAACCCAATACTTTTTGGCCAGAAATTTATCAGGATGGGCTTTGGCTCATTTCCTTATTTCTTAAGGAAAAATCTGTTTTCTATGAGGGTATAGATTAAGGTCCTTCAGCTGAATAGCTACTAAAGTGGTCTCCACTTAGTCTTCAGTCATATTATGCTTCGGAATCACTCCAGGCATAGAAATCTAATCCCATCAGGTTTGGTTGGTTGAATTCATAACAAGTAGGACCCAGGTTTCTAGAGGCTCGAACAATATAGTTGCCCTGAGCTTGAAGAGTATATCTCTTCTAATTACTGGTATAGGTCACCCCAGTATCAATCATAAGGGAGCTTGCAAAAAGAAACCTTTCAAATGGCAGCTCAGAGTTAGGGTTCGAGAAGGCTGGCCAGCACCAAAAAGTCAAAGAGTTTGAATTCTCTGATAAACAAAAACATCAGAACAAGAAGGGGACTAGAGTTTCCCCTGAGAGAAAGGAAAGGAAAGCAAGCCAAATGAGGGCACTCACAAACTTGGTACATCCCAAGTATCCACTCAGATCTTCATTATCCAGGGCATGCTGCCAACTGTAAGCCCTAAGGAAAAATGATAACAATGGCAGATCTAGACCCATGAGAAACTTCAAAGAAGCCATGGGGAGGACTCTGTTCATGTTGAAAACATCCCAATCCCAGTTTCCCGCTGCCCACAAGAGCCATGAACCTGTCTAGGTGCCTCAAGATGTGGGAAATCATGGCTACCAGAGACAAAACTGCATGCTGCAGGGACCAATAGCAAAATATGGTCCCAGCTGATTAGAAGGAGCGCTCTTGCCCCCTGCAAAGGCTGAAGCCTTTTGCTCCACAGTCCAATCAGCTCATGTTCCTGTATTGACAAGTTCCCTTACTTAGCAAAAGGAAGAGAAAGTCTTCCCACACAGGGGAGTTACCTTCCTTTCTGGCTGGGTAGCTTCTCGTAGCAGACGTGTGGTGCTGTCTGTTGTCTCCTAGCTGACTGCCCAAATGATACCACGGGTTATATTCCATAGGTAGATTCCAGGCCCTTCTGTACAAAGAATTATAAAGCATAGGTTAAAAAAAAGCAGTTACACTTATTGAAGATCACAGAAAGCTTTGTTCAGAGATGGTCTGTGCGGACAAAATGTGGTAAGAACAGAAAAGTGGTTCTGGGTTAATAGAAACGTAAAAGGCACTGCGCGCAGATAAATCAAGTATTCTGACTTGAAAAGATGTGCACCCCTGGGGCCACTCACTAGGTCTCTGGGAAATATTGGCAGGGATGATTTGCAGAGTGGTAAGAGTGGTGTTTTTCCTAAAGATCATTCTGACTAAATTAGATGTATGCGGTCCACATTCATGACCCTGTAATAAGGTCAGTGTGCGGGAAAGTTTAAGATCTGACCATGAGATCTAGTACTTTTGTGCTCCGACCTGGAACGCTAGAAATTTCTGAAGACTTCGGTATTTCACTTCTGATTTTCTAGGAACAATGGAAAGAATGATGACCCTGGGATGTTATCCAAATTCAAGTGGGTGGAGGAGCATGGTGTCCCAGCCCCCACCGTGCTACATGTACTAGCTATGCTTTATTCCACGGATGCTGGGTGTCGTCACTGATACCTGACTCCACACCAAGACCTGAACCTCCAGGGCCTAGAAGCCTGGGCTTCATTTAACTTTATGCCTAGCTCTGGACCCAAAGTGTCACTGTTTACATACCATGCTTGATGCTCCTCAGCCCATAACATTCTGTGAACCTGTTCAACTTGAATCTGTGAAAAATAGAAATTCAGGTTAGCTGAAAGTTTTATATTGTTGCTTACACCAGATGGGGCAGCACTGTTACTTACTTGCCCTGGGACTTAAAAAAAAAAACAGGTTACTTAACCTCTAAGGTTGTAATATGTGTAGAGAGCAGAAATAGTCACAATAGCCATCTTGTCAGATCACAGGGACAGTATACAAGACAAAGCCTGGCTCCTAGAGAGCATCTATTATCATTAGCAATTATCTACTCCAATTTCACTGTCCATAAAATAGGATTTCTAACACCTGTCTGTACCAATCACCCATGTGGCAATGCAAAGTCATATTGTCACAGTGTGATGAGCTCTGGCTTGGTGGCATTAGCACCACAGTCTTCGGTCTTGGAGTATTTCTCACCTAGCCACTGATGTCAGGTTCATTATACCTGTGCAGGACCCTTATTATACCTGAGAGATGAGGGGACTGAGGGTATGCCCAAGACCACCAAGGTGGTAAGTGGTAGAATGTAGCTTACAGCTAGCCTTGCTGAGCTCTAGACTCTTAATTCTCAATTATGCTTTTGTGGCACCATTTTGCTAATAATCAAAAAATAAATTTTGCTACATATTACATGAAAAACATAGGTCAATTATAAGAGATATACTAAATGTACATTGAATCAAAGATATATAAAAATTTTATGTATATGGTTGTATGTGTTTTTTAAGAGAATAAAATCAAACAAAACAAAACAGAATAAAGCTAATCAGAACAGGACTTCAAAACAAAATAATAGGAAATCAACAGTGGCTACCATAACTGTCTCTTGTTTTCTTCAAAATACCATTAGACATAATATAATCAAACAAAACAATAAAACCAATAAAAAATAAAAGTCTATTTTAAAGAGAATAGAACCAAACAAAATGAAACAGAATACAGCCAATCAAAACAAAACAAAATAGTGAAAGTGACACTGGATTTTAAAACAGGATAATAAGCAATCAAAATGACTACCATAATGCCTCTTGTTATCTTCAAAGTTGCTGCCCATACCATCAGATATGATAAAATCAAACAAAACAAAACAGAATGAAACCAATCAAAACAGAATATTGAATAAAACAAAAAATAACTTGGAACAAAGCAAAACAGTGAGAACAATATTGGATTTCAAAAACAAAACAAATGGAAATCCCTCATGTTTGCTATATCGCATATTGTTATCCTTTTAGTAAATGCTCAGACTACCTGTCGAAGGCCTGCAAAGTCAATCAAACAATAAAAGTATTTATAGTTGTTCTAGATCCTTAGATATCAACTTAACCTGTCTTAGAAATTAGCCAGTTGCTTACTGCTGGGTTGGGGAGGGTCCTAGCTGGCACACAGGCTGACTCATGGGAAGGGCAAATTGGCTTCTTATTCTTCCTGTTACTCCTCCCAGACTCAGCATGGCTTCTGCTGGCTCATAGGAAGGACAAATTGGCTTCTCTTCCTAGGTCCTGCTTGTGCCAGCTCATGGAAAAAGCCTTTTCATTTTTGTCTTGATTTACTTTTGACTTACCTCTTTCCCCTTTAATACATAATAATTATATATATGCAAGGGATGATCAAAATATACAATTAATGTTTAAGTTTTACAAAACTTTTTTACAATAGAAGACACATTTCTATTAATCCTTCTCAAAATCCTTCCCCTTGCACGGGCTTTGAACACAGTACCCATCATTCTTGTCACTTCCTGAAGCAGTTCTGGAAGTTCTCTTTTGTGTGTCACTGAGGTTTGATCAAAAAATGTCGTGAATGCTGCCGCTGATACCACCCTCTGGGAAGACAGGGTCATCAAAATATTTCAGCATATCCTGTTAACCACACTCACCAGATCTGATCCCACGTGACGTCTGACTCTTCTCCAGAGTAAACATGCTCATGAAAGGTAAGCATCCTGAACTGGCTCAGGACATCCAGGAGCCCCACAACTCCACTAAAGACACCATGAGGGGGGGCTGCTAGAACTGATTCCCAAAGTGGCAAAAACAATGGTGTAACCACGTACAAGGGAGAGGTAGGAGTTTGAGGGTAATTGCAATGTGTCTTTTACCATAATTTTTAAAAAAAAAATTTAAAATACAGTATTTTTTTAGTCACACTTCATAATGTGACCAGGAAGGAATGTGGGTACGGTGGGGATCACTGCAGACTGCAGAAAGCCCTGGCTATTTAGACATTCTATGGATGATGATTGTTTACTATATCCCAGAGACCGGGGAGGCTATGCCTATGTGCATCCTAAAAGGAGGCTTTGGTCCTGCAGCACCCACACAGCTGTATGACTTCATCTTTCTGCCCTTCTTGGTCAAACACCACCACTGACCTTACACTCTTCTTCCCTGTCCTCCCCATAGGTCACCAGAGTGAATTTTTAATCCCTCTAAATTACATTCAGAGCCTGTCAGCCATTCCAGATTCATAAGCACCCTACTGATGCAATTTTTACTTAAAAAATTCAAACAGAGAGAAAAACAGATGCTTGCATTACCAGGAAAGAACAATAGTAATTTCATCTACATGTTATCGCTGGGTCCCACATTCATAAACTCTGAATGATATGGAAAATGTAATAAGCATGATTCTGAAAATCAAATAATAAACATTACACATGATTCCAGTTATAATGGCTGGAAAAATATAAGTCAAATAAAAGGATTATTATTAAACTGTTCTAATACTGTCACTTTAAAAATGGCTTATCTCTCATTTTAAAAACACATCAGTTGAAAAAGACAATGAACACAATTTCCAAATTTGAAATTATCACAGTTTAAATCCAATTTGGAAAAAAATATTCAGACACTTTAAAATAATGTAAGATTAATCCTCTGTCTTTCCTTCAATAACAAGTAAATTGAGTCTTTAAAATTGCGTTCAGTATATGATTTTCAGCTGTGTAATTATTGTTTAAAGATACATGTGTTCAATTTCTTCTGTTTCCCTTTGAAACTCAAATCCATTTCAAATATTTTGTTAATATGTAATTTAGTTCTTAGAGAATGGTTCCTTAGTGTTGGTAATTAAATGTTATATTTACACAAAAGAAATAATGAAATACAATCTCATCTAAAAAGAACATTCTAAAACATTCTGCTGAGTGCAAAAACATGACCTTGACCTATCAGAGTTTCTTTTGGTAAGGCCAACAAAAACCCCTTGAGTTAATTTATGGGAAACATAAAAGGAAGTGTGGTCCTTCTGAACAATCTGTCCCTTCTAGGAAATACTGAAGCATCCAGTAGTAAATGTGAGGGTGAATGTGTCATTGTGCAAGCTTATTACTTGGATGATAGATCTCGCCAATATGACCTAAGATTTCTTCTTAGGCAGTAAATACCTGCAAGGCAAGTGTGTTTCCTGCACATTTAATGTAGTTATAGATGTAACTTTTATCTAAGTGAAAAATAAACAGTTAATTAATAAAAATGCATGGGACACCTCCCAACCATGTGACAGGAACTCTTGTCTAAAACTGTGGGAAATTAAAAATCTAAGAAAGAGGGAGCCCACCCCCACGAATGCTCTGCCTGTTCAAAGCAATAAGATGCATTAGAATTGTAATAAGTGAAGAAGAGAGATTAAGTAGTTCCAGTGGTAAGCAATTGGGCGACAAGAGAGGGAGGGTATAAAGCCTTGGAGTGAGAAAATGCAAAGCATGTTTAGGTATAAAACAATGATCATTATAGTATTTATTATGCAGAGCACAGTGCTATTTATTTTGCTTATAATATATCCCATAGAATAACTCACTCATCCCAGTTTGCATGGAACTTTCCTGCGTTAGCACTAAAAGTCGTAAAACTGGAAATCTACAACCTCACCCTTAAAGTCTAACTTTTCTAATCCACGAGCAACTGAAAGAAAGCATTTGAAGATCAAAGGAAGAGTCTCCTATCCACAATCAATTTCAAGTTCTTCGGAGTACTTTTCTCATGTTTCTATAGCAATACTCAAAAGGTGGTAATCATCTTTGCCTAACACATAGCTCTTTGTCATCTGTCATGCACCAAACTGTATATTCTAAAGGCAACAACAGGTAGAGAAGACACTGTTCTTGACTTTCCTCTGAGAGACAAGAGCGAAGCTGGGCACACGCTGTGTGATGTGTCATGATTGTATGCACATGCAGACATATTTAATTATTTTACTGATGTGTTGTTTACCTGCTTACATCTGCCTTTTTTGCATGCCTTTCACTCTGAGCTGTTGCATGCCTTTTTGAGGGGTAAGGGATGAGAACCTACATATTCTCTCCATTGAGAGCTACGACATCAGAGATCAGCATAATCCTATAGGGGATTATGTAATTATTGTTTAAAGATACATGTGTTCAATTTATTTGTGTTCAAATAAATGTGTTCAAAATATTTGAACACATTTCACATGTGTTCAAAATATTTGAAATGGATTCCCCTATTTCCAATAGGGGAAATCCAGGCAAAGCAAAGTCCATTCAGGGAGAAGATAGTAATTTCCATGAAGAGCCCCTGCCTATGTGGTTCAAGGGGATGCACTGTGCAGAAACTGAATCAGTGAGTCTCTGAGCTGGGAGCAGTCACCTAACAGCATTCCGTAAGGCTCCTACTAAGTCACTGGGTCCATATACACCCAGACACCTGCCTGTTCAATATAGAAATCATTTGCTTTGCAGAAACCAACCATCCTTCTCCATCAAGTCCTATCCAGTTGGTCAGAAGGGGAAATTCATTTCATCACAAATTATGTTAAGAAGTTAAACAGAAACTCCATTTATAATGTTGACAGAATTCCCCACACACATGAAATATTTAATAAAATCAGGAGCTAGAGAGCTAGATTTGTACACAAAGAACCTGTGTAAGAGGGGTGTTTTCTAATGAAACACCAAAGTGCTATCCTTTATTTTGCTTCCATTTGATAATCCTGACTTATTTCTTCCCACCTATACCTCATGAAACTTAGAGGTATTTACCAGTCCAAGGACATTCTGAATATG